AGTATTCAAACTAGTAACATATGACGACATTTTACGACTATTTTACTAATAAAATAGTTTTTGTGTAAAATATTCAAGTTTTATGGTGGGTTTTAACATACCAAAATTTGTTTGAATGTTTTGTAACACAAAAATATTTTATTTTTGTGGTGACTAGAACATGAAATAATTTCCACAAGATTACATAAAATCCTTGAAAATTTATAATATTTCAATATTGGTACAAGTATTAGTGGTAAAAATATATTTAACCAAAAATCAACCATTTTGAGTGTAACTCTCATATTTTTACCATCTATCAAGCTTTTACAACCAAATATAATGTAACATTTTTCTTTAATATTACTTTTGATTTTTAATACACACTAAAAACCATTTTTACCTAGTAACTTATTTCATGTTTAACATAATACCATAATATGTGAGATTTTACAAAGGCAACTTTAGTCTAAAAAAACATGAGATTTATATAAATCTCGAGTTTATGGATGTTCACATGGAGTCATCAACATCTCACCACACATAGTCACACAAACATATAAGTGCATGCAAATATCCAAGATTAAACAACACTTGACTTGTATTCCCCCCCCCCCCCCAAAGGATGAAAAACATATTTCTTATACTTGATTGTCATTTATCTTATGTTTATGATTCTAGTTCATATTTCTTATACTTGTTTAATACTTTGATCATGAGCTTGGTACTTAAATGAGCAATTATTGGTTTATTTCTTTGGTTTAACATTAAATCATTGAATTTACTTAAAACAAGGGCTTTATAATGGTAGAAATCATCTCTAGCTTATGGATCATGACTCCTTTATGGATGTGTAAGCATTGACGTCCTCTAGGAATTGGGGATTCCTTCATTCTTAAGGCTAGTCAACTTTCTCGGGTTCAATTGTTTCAATTGAATCCTTGATTTTGATTAAGAAGGTGTGTTGTGGGCTTCCCCAACATCCATACTACCTATGAGGAATATTTGCATATCATGTTTCATGATTATTATAACCAATTTGGGATGAATGATAAACTTCATATTGAATCTTAGTGATAAACACACAAATGTTCATTATGTTGAATTGTCTTGGTTGACCAATTATCTCCAATATTTGAGCATCTCACAATCTTGCTTAACTGCAAGTTTTTTAGTTATTCAAGTCTTTTAGTTTTCAAGCAATCCTGAAACCCCATTTTTAGTTTAATTGTAGTTAGTTAGTTTTATTACACTAGTTCATTTGGATTGTATTGGTGATTGAATACAATCATTTCCCCGATGATCGATACCCCATTTACCATTATATTACGTTTTATTTACAAACAAATGATGTAATTTGTTTGGTAGAATTGACATCCCACCAATAAAAATAAAGTAATCGATATTTTCAACCTATAAGTTTGGAAAGGATTTAACCGTTTAAGCCTTCAAAGGCATTTTTCTCAATACAATGCTAATGTTAAGAATACAAAAACCGTTTAATGCACACAATCAATAATTTGAAAGAAAATAAATAATTATATATATTTTTTTTAATTAAAAAGCCTTATAAACCCTAATTTAATATCGGTATAAAACATCTAGTTCTTATTACCATTTATATTCGTATTAAACAATTTAAATAAAAAAACACATAAATTATCATAATAATATGGACAATATTCTACTTTATTTAGTAAACCCAAAAATAAAATAAATTTTACATAATGATAACTTTTCCAACAAATGTTTGTATGAAAATAAAGTTTTAGTTTAGTGATCTTGAAAATAATTTGTAGGTAGGAGAGTACTATACGAGTTATTGGTCATACAAGATTTTGCATAGATGGTAGTTGAGATATCCTAGATTTACAAGACTACCTAATACTATCGGTATTGGATTAGATTGGATCTTCTAAAGGGATACACGTGGCAAACTCTTCATGCCACCAGCTCACCTGTAAAAGCCAGTCCTGTTAGGTTGAGAAAAACGTAATCTACACTAACACGTGGCCCAATCATATGTTTCATCGTGTCATTGCTAGGATGACAACGTTGACTTTCACAATCCGTTTTAGTATCCAAAGTTCCAAACTTGTTCACTAATAACCCACGTGTCCCTTTCTCCTTGCACTCTTTTTTCTACAAAATTTGTTATTGAGTTTATTCTTTGAGTAAATACTTACCGTTTTATAAGCGAATTTTGTTTTTGTCTAAAAAACGTTTGTAGTTGGTCTAAAAAAACGAATGTTATTTCTATTCCGTATTTTTTATAAGTTATTAGTTGAATGATTTTTTATCATTATATTGAATCTGGATGATATTGAACTTTTTTTTTCTAATAAAGTGGTGATAGTATATGCATTTGATGTATTTATTAATTTTATATTTTTGACCGAATAAATAATACAAAAAGTTGATATGTGAAATTACTTTAGTAATTTATATATTTAAGATACATGTAGGCACAATAATTAAAAACAAAGGCTTCGTGATATATTTATTAAAAAATCAAATTTAAAACATATAATAAATAATTATATAACAAAAACTAAACTGAAGCTAAAATTGTCATTTTAGAGATATAATTGTCATTTTAGAGATATAACAGTTGAGGTTTGACCATAAATGCCTCATGGACCAAACAATTTTTGCCAACCACAATAACTATCCATGTAAAAATTTCTAAACTTAAACATAAAATGCATAACACTGCAAACCATAGGGACAAAAACCATAATTAACTCATTCTTATTTTAGAATTAAAAACTATATAGAAACTAAAAAAATTATTTACCAAATTAAAAATTACATAAACCAAAGTAATTACTCTATTTCCTTTTAAAACTAAAAACTACGGAGACTAAAAGAATAATTTTCTTAATTAAAAACTATAATAACAAAGACTGTAATTAATCCATTGTAAATATATGGATCAAAACTATAATTAATCAATTTTCTTATAGAATTAAAAAAATCTAAAAAAATTCTAAACAATAAAGACCAAAATTATGATTTCCTAAAGTAAAAACTACACCAAAAGCATATTTAGACAATTTCCTGTAAAAAATATCATCTATATGATATATCATATTTACTAGGTGTGAGACCCGTGTATTACACAGGTTTATAAAAAAAAGTTTAATATAAAATTATCAGAATTACATATTTTTTAAAGTAATAATTTTACATAAATACAAATAATATAATAAATAAAGTAAGTAATTTATTTTATAATGTAAGATATTTGAAAAGTTGTAGACCATTTATTATGAAATTTAATAGAATGATTAACGTTACATATATATAAATCTCAGTAAAATGTGGATTTTAAATTTAAGAAAACGAAAAATACAATAAAATGACAAGTGTAAAGAAAAAATTCAAAAACTCTTAGAAAATAACATGAGTCAAATTCAAAGAGAACGTGACATTTGACAAAATTGATTTTCATTTATTAGGTTAGATAAGGTAACATGTTTTTTTTTCTTTTTTCTTGAACAGCAGCAAAATATATTAGAACAAACTAAAAACTAGCAAGAAAATATAGAAATACAAAATTAAGCTAGAGAATACAAAATGTGTTCAATTTCGGTTAACAAGTAGAGTCCTTTGACAACTAATTTGAATTTATAGATTACGCAACTTTTTGACAACTAACAAGTAGAGTCCTTTGACAACTAATTTGAATTTATAGATTATGCAACTTTCTTTTAGATTATTCCTCTCAATGATTTAGTTGTGCTTTTATAATTCAACAATCACCATAACAATCATACAATGAAGTCATTTAACACGAATTTGGGTATCAAAGTCATGTAAAGTGTAATTATGTAAAATACACCTTTGAAATAGTAATTGCAGTGTTTTAAAAACAGGATTTTTAGCTGAACCAGTTTAATGACCGATTTTCGGTTCAACCAGTTTGATTGTCGGTTCAATTGTCAGTCGACATTTGGGAGTGTTGTATGTTGGCTTTTGAGTTGTATACATTCTGGATAACCCGATCGATCGAGCTATTTACATTTCTTTGAAAATTAACTGTTTTTTTAATGAGCTAAGTGAAATCTAACTAGACAAGTGCAATAAACGAGTTCAGACGGTTTTTTACCGGTTCAATCATACCGATTCAACCCGATTTTTGAAGAAACCGTTTGGTTCAACCCGGTCTAAAACTTAGCATTAAACCGGTCATTGTTGAACCACTATCGTCCTTGGTTTCTGGTCCGACCGATTTTAAAACATTGTACTTGCGTGATCGGCATACATACTCATTGCCTTTAATTTTATCTTTCGTTTTTCTTATATGGTGGTTTGACTAAATGAATGATTACATTACATACTAAATGAATTCAAATCTATGTTTCAATCACCATGTTGTAAATTAATATTTTTGCTTAATAACTTATAAAGCGAGAATAAATCAATTTAACTGTACCAAATCAGATTAAATAATCAACTTTTTAATTTAATATGGTTTTACAATTTCCATTTCTAATATCATAAAATCACATCTAGAATTAAATAAACTAAAATAGATAAAACCACCTGTAAATAATTTGTACACAGCCATACAAAAAAAAAGATCTTTCTATCAAACATTAATATAACTTCTTAATTAGCTAAAAACATATAAGTGTAAAACGGTATCAAATATCTAATTTTTATAAAATGAAGCAAAATTCAAATGACATATAAATACGAGCATAATAATTATCAATCTTTAACCTTTTTTCAGCTATCATTTTTCTTCTTTTCTTTTAACAGCAAGAAGAATTATTATTGTATGAAGCCATCGACATGTAGCCAAATTAGTTGAAGAATTATTCAACCGTATTCTCTGACATGTAATATATGAGATAAAGAAAGAATGGGAGGTTGTTTAGTTGACTCAGGAAACTTAGGACACATTAATAAGATTCACGAGGGCAATCTTGCACTTTTTGCTTAGTAAGCTATGAGCTGGTTTCCTTACCACCCTATTTAAGTCGACCTTAATCCTAGCCAACTTCCAACACAAAATGGCTAGATTAACTTTCTTCATGGTGGCAATGCTTCATCTCCTCCTCCTCTTATCTCCTCCGGGCACCACACATGGTGGTGGCAACACTATTTTCTGTGGTGGTGGTGGCGGCGGCGTTGCAGCTATGAGACCATTAGAAGAGAAAGGTGGAGAGTATGTTACATACAAGCCCAAAACAGGTGTGATAAATCAAGGCGAAGGTGTTTATGGTTGCTTGCCTAAAGGAATTCGACACAGTTCTGGTCCTAGCCGATATATTAATTATCAAACTCTTGGCTTGCCTAGCGCATGTTCCACAAATGCACCTGAACCATAACCTCAATTGTATTCGATGAATGGGGAGTTACACATGTTGTGATTGTTGTCATACATTACAATATACTACATATATAAATTAAACATGTATACAGAAACGTAGTTTGTTCAATTTAAGTGTATATATATATACAAAAACAGAATGTTATACCTAATATATACATGTACATGCATAGAAGTTGGTATCTGTTAATAAAGATATTATATGTTATATGTTCTATACTTGTTTTATGAATATTTCTTGTGTTTTTAGCCTAGTTCCGGAGTCTTAGCAAAGAAAATAAAAGAAGAGAAAAGAAAGTAAAGAGAAAAAAAAAGATAAAGGAAATGAAAAGAAAATTGTTTTTTGTGTTTCTGAGTTGGAGAGAAGTGAAACGAAAATTAAACATTTTGTTCTTTCTCTTCAAATTTTTCCAAATCGGAAGGAAAGTTGGGAGGGAAAGCGATTTTTCCACTTCCTTCCTTTAATGAAACTTGGGAACACCAATTTCTTTTACTTTCTTCTCATTTCCATCAATTTTCTTTCTTTTCTCTCGTTAAGTTGAACTCGGGAACATGGTATTAGTGTGGGAATAATATTACGGAAATGTACGGAATCAAACAAGAAAATAGAAATGGTTAATGTTTGTGTTTAACACAGTGTCCTTAAAACAAAGTTGTGTGGTGTGCTATCTGGTGTTTGTTTCCTATAATACAACAACTTTGAACGATTCTTCAAGATCGTCGAACCTCACAAAGGCCTGAATTTTACCTTCTTTGTAGAAATAAAAATTTATTAGAATTAGTAGAATATAAGAGATTTTTTCTTTGAATTCTAGTCTCTAGTCTTTTAAATTGGTTGTAGAGTGGTGGTATTTATGCTACACATTCTACAACCGTTGACGAAATTAAACACATTTATTAATCACAAGATTAATGTGTGTTTAATATGAGTTTTGTAATTGAAATCATAATAAATTAGCAGTTACAGAAAAAGATATAGTTTGCAAAAACTTTTTTGATTGCACATACAAGAAAGGGACTTGGTTTCATAAGTCTTACAAGGCTTAAAGTCTTTATACTTATAAACTCGCTTCTTTTTCATTCTCACACCTATGTGGCATGGCCAAAAACTCACTTAGCATCTTTTCCCAATTCATCAAACTATCTCACTTTAATGATTAATTTATCATTCATCATAAGTTCGTTTTGGACGTATGATATACCAAAACGAAGGTATCACGGAGGAGAACACAAACATATATAGCCGTTTATATATTTTAATAATGTTTATGGTTCAAATTTTTTGTTCAAAAAATGGGAAAATTCATTTTTAGAAATTGGTTCAAACCAATTTTTCAACAATCCCCCACATGAATGAAAATTGATTAAATATTTTCAAACTACCTAGAAAAAATCCAACAGTTAAATCATGCATAGGATAGGTAAGTGTTGATGGAGATTAGTGTACATAGTCATAACAAACCCAGTAATGTTACTATAAATAACAATGTCCTTTTGGGTTACACTCAAGAGAAAAATAAAGCAGAAGTGAACAAATATCTATATCATGGACTTGTTTTGTTAATTGATTAATAGTTTAATTAATTAATTAGAAAATAACGGAATACAGAATATTCCAGAATGTTTTGAAATATCTGGATAATTGTAATTATATTTGGTAATTATCCTTATAGTTTCAAATCACCTCCCTTTATAAAGAAAGGTCAAAACCCGGTTTTTGTACATGAGAAAAATACACTTCAGTCACCAAAGTTCGGAACCCTCAAAAACCCTAAGAATTCCTAAAGTACAGTTCCTATATCGTGGTTATCTGTGTTGAGTATTTGAGATATTGAAACTGATTTGGCATTTCTGTTTATTATTGAAGACTTTTTAGTCTTGATAGGGTTTTGTATTTTTGGAAAATGTTTTGTTTTCCTTATATATAGTCATTAGCTTAGCTTGTTCGAGATATTGAAACTGATTTGGCATTTCTGTTTATTATTGAAGACTTTTTAGTCTTGATAGGGTTTTGTATTTTTGGAAAATGTTTTGTTTTCCTTATATATAGTCATTAGCTTAGCTTGTTCGGTAAGCTTTTTCCTCAAAAGGTTTCTTTATATGTCCAATTTTGAAATCAATGATATACTAAAACTTTGACAGATTACTTGCAACTTTATGGTGATTGATTCATGATTGATCTTCAGATTCCGCACTCGTCATCTCGTTTTTCGTCCCAACAAGTGGTATCAGAGCGGGTTCTTATAGATCTCAGCGATTATTGCAAGAATTGATCAGATATGGCGAAATTTATTCATGAAACTTTGTTCTTCAAGTTTTGTAAGTTTTCTGAAGAGAAAGTGAAATATCTCTTGTTTTTGTAAAACTCAATTCAGATCTGTTATTTTCTACACATTCTATCATATGATTTGTTCTTGATTCAAGTTTTGGAAGTGAAATAGAATAAGAAAATTGAGTTTTATTATCAGATTTGTGCTTTGATTCGTTTTCTCTCTCTAGAAATAATCTCATATCTTGTTTCTCTCTCAATAAATCATCTCAGATCTGTTTTCTCTCTCTAGAAATCATCTCAAATCCATTTTCTCTCTCTAGAACTTTTATCAGATCTATTTTTCTCTCCCTTCAAGTTCAGTTTCTTGTTGAAGATCTAATGGATGAAACGGATTTATTGTTAGACTCCATTTTAGCACTTGGATTAAAGGTTACTAATCCAATCTATGGTGTTGATAAGTTGAGTATGTGGCCTATTCTTGGTCAATCTATGTTGAAGGATGCTACTGAGATGTATAATCTTTATGTTGATAAGAAAATATCTGATAGCACATATCTTCATGGATGTCATTTAGAAGATGATATGGAATTATTAGAGCAATTTCGAATTATCAAAAGACATTTAGATCGAGAAAATAAACACCGGATTTTGGAGATGAAAAGAGCTTAAAAGAAAAAGGAAGATGTTCATGGTGTTCTTGATAAAGTTCATGAAGTTCTTCAAGTATATGAGAAAAAAAAGTGACTCCAAATGCTCTTGTTGAGGGGGAGTCAAGTGTTTCAAGTTTTTCAGACGTTTTACATTCCGAATCTAGTAGTTTTGAAGACAACTCTCAATGCAAAAATTCAGAAATCGTGAAAGCGAAGATGTTTTGTTCTATTGGAACTCAAAGAGAAGATTCTTCATGTTCTATATTTGAAGGAATGGTTCCTTCTAGAAAGCCTATTATTCAAGATGTTCAGATTTACCAAACTCCAAATGATTGTGTGCAAAAGACTTCTAATGTTCAGATCACAAAATGTGATGAACATGTTCAGATCCGAAAATCAATTTTGAAGTCTCAAAAACTGAAAAGGAAGAAGAAGAAGAAGTAGAAGACGAGTAAGGTGAAAAAGGTTTGGATACCAAAAGTACAAGTCTATCATGCTTGTGAAAAAGTTCAGAAAGTACAAATCAAGCATGTTAATTAAAAAATGTGTTCAGATGGAGATGTTTGAAGTTGGATAAAGAGAAAAAGGTTTATGGTTGGTTCAATTAGATATTTGGTAATTTTTGTTTTCCAAGTAAGAAGCTGATATCATTTTCAGAAGATGAGCATGTTTCTTCAAAGAAATGGGTTTGAAAAAAGTCTTCTTAAATTTTAAATCTCAAATGGATTCCAGAAGCTTTAAATTAAAAAAAAATGAGAAAGGGGTGTTCGTTTCGTTGAAGAAATCAATTTTTTTATTGATTTTTAATGGCTGAAAGTGACAACACAAGTTTCGAAAAAGATGAATTTTCTGTCATGATTGGAAAGTATGAAGGCTGTCAAAAGGTGAAAAGGGGGACAAAATTCTGACTTTTTTCTGTAAAAACAGGGTTGCAAGCTGTCAAAGATTTCTAAAAAGAAGGTCAAAAGCTCAAAATCGGAACTTTCCTTAGTCTGAATGAAAAACGAAGGCATCGTGATATTTTGGGTATCACTAATTCTAGTTCTCGCAAGTTACATGTTCTCGCAAGATTTCTGTAAGTCGGAATCTTAAGCATCAACAACACTTTGTTTTCTGAAGTGATTCATTGATTGCACAAGATTATTAGTTTCGCATATGGAATTGAATGTCGCAACCTGTTATTTGAATCAGAATTGATTTGATTTTGGAACCACCATCAGAAAGCAAAATCGGATTTCACTGTTCATAATCTGAACCGTTCCGATCATCGGAATTAATCAAAATCGGAATTGGTGTTCGGAATTCTATCTATTGGTGTTCAGAACTTTATCTGAAATCGGAACTTGAAGGGGTGATCGGAATTCCAAATCGGAATTAATTCTAAAATCGGAGTTTATTCAATAAGATTAATCATAGCAACATAATTGATTTCGTTTTTGAAGGATACCTTTGGATTGCAATCGGAACTTATGCAATCGGAATTTTTTTTTGGTCAACTTGTAGCACCGAAATTTTCAAACAAAATTTTCATTTAAAATCACATAATTCTCATACACATTTAACAAAAATCCCATTTATTTAATTTACAAAAAAACACAACTCCATAATGAATTAATTAACAGTCCAGGATCCTCAAAGCATAACTCTTTCTCGGGTGTGTACAATCAAGATGGCGCCTTCCCGCGATCTTGAAAAGAACCTAAAACACATATCACATAACACGGTAAGCACGAAGCTTAGTGAGTTCCCCAAAATACCACATACACAAATAATAAGCCTCTCATGGCTATAACTCGGCACGGACCCTCCAGTCTCATGCGTCTCGGTCTGGACCCTCCGGCCATGTGTCTTAGTGAGGACCCTCCGGTCTCACAGCTCGGTTTGGACCATCCGGTCCTGTCTCAGTGGAAACCCTCCGGTCCCACAACTCGAGTTGGACCCTCCGGTCCTGTCTCAGTGGAAACCCTCCGGTCCCACAACTCAGGTTGGACCCTCCGGTCCTGTCTCAGTAAAACACGGAATATAACATATATATCACACAGACAAAATGCATAATATCACACAACTCAAATAAGCACATAAGACCCTCTGGTCGCACATAGATACCACTCATGGTAAGTATAGTGAGAAGACTCACCTCGGATGATGAACAGCACCTATAGATGCTGCTGTTGC